CTCTACCTGACGTTAGATTATTTTCACTGTTTGGTGCCGATATCATCAATCCATCACTCGCGATCATGAGATACAGAGGCGAGGGGCTGATCAGTACGAGAGGTGGGATCGGCTCAATTCTAGCTTACCTGACTGCCAAGTAGGGACCGTGGATGTGTTGATTCCGTTACCTGCAGATCATATTAATGCATTACTCCCCCATAAATTACACTCATACTAACCGAATCCAGTGACCAATCGACCGATCACAAGCTGAGCAAGCCCGTAAGACGTGCACTGAAGAATGGCACCGATGCACATAATAAAAGAACCGACAAAGATAGCCTTGCGACGACCAAGTATGTTACCGATCCAAATTGTGGGAATCGAGCCTGCGAAGCATCCCAGGTTGTATGCTGCGACTGTGATACCTTGCCGAGTAGACTGGTTGCTCCTTGCTGAGGGAGTCCAGGCCTTGGTATATGACTCTAAAGTATTGATTTCGGGGAAGTATTTGACGAAAGATTCGAGTGTCAACAGACCACCAGTGACACCTTGATCATAACCGAACAGCAGGAAGTCCATGCCAGCCAGGAAACCGATGGCAATCTGAAGATTGGTGCCATTAAGGCCCAAAAACCGCTTGGTCTGCATAATGGTGTGGTCCACTGAGAATCCTCTATATTTTGAATAAACGAGTATATAGGCCAGCCCAGTCTAAAGAATACAAAACCAAAAGGACCGATCAACGCAGGGAAATCAGTCGGTTTAAAAAAGAATCCGGGGGGCTTGACCTCTCTGGACCAGGGGGCCTAGAGAATTTCTTGCCCTCCACTACCACCTACAACATACATTGTACACCAAAGGAAACAGAATGCGATTGGAGGAGTAATTGATGCTCAGGGTCCACCATCAGATCAGCCCATACGAGCAAGAAGCGACAATGTAGATCGGCTGTTCCCAGGGTCACCTCTAGGTTTACAACAATTTGCACAGACGTTCTTTGAAGGTCAACCCGATACATTTCCGGGCCGTTTGAAGGTCAGGATGGGCGCACGCGACACATAAAGCCAATCAATACCATCTCAACGGGGCAAATCCATCGGCTTCTCCAGACTCAGTTAGCGGGTGTTTTGGGCTTGCGCAAGATCAGCGCCCGCCGGTCACTTTTACGCCTGTCAGATTTCGGCTTGCAAGTGGAACCTCTTAGGAAATGCCAATGTACGCCAATTTACGCCACGAAGTGCCAATAATAGCTTGTTATTACCTTCATATGCCCCTCTGATCAGCCCCGGGCGCGGGGCCACCTGGGCAGTGCTCATATAATCGGAGGGTATCAACTTCCATCGGGTGTAGCGCTGCGTATTCCCTACATAGAAAAATAAGAAATTATATTAAAAATTGCAAAGGGCTTTCCATATAGTGAACAGTCTACAATCTATAGCTTGGCGCCTAGAAATGTCTTTCAGCCTCTTGTTCCTACACTTTTTAATATCGGAACAATTCCGCGTGTGCGCTGTGCACGGGGGGCCGTTTTTTCTTTACAGAGTACTTCATATACCCGAGGCTATTTGATATAATTTTGTCAGGACCTTTTTTGCCGAGATCAAATTTGAAGAAAAGAAAGAAATCAAGACGCAACCTGGCCCCGATATATACAGGGCCACAGTCCACACTTTGGATATTTTACCATGTCGCGCGTCTCTATTTTGCTCTCTCCACTACTCCATACCCCGTATAACATATGGGGCTGGATCCTGCAGAGCAATGCAACATGCCCCTTTAGGCAGTTCCTGCTGCAACCCACTTTTAATACATACAGGCCTGTTGCGTACGGAGTACATCAATATACAGATTCCCTCCCAGTTTTGATTTTCTAGAAGGAAACACTAAACAGCATAATACTCTCGTGCCCACCGCAGTTGAACGTGGGGCTTATCATCTGCCACTTGAGTCATTTGGGTCCCCTCATTGAGTTATTAGACACAGCGTGCAGATCGCGACCGAGTACTGTCTTTCGGGGCGTCTCGAATGCCCCCAAATATGGGTCAGGAGAACTATTCATCTATGCGCGTTTGTAGAAAACGACATATTGTATGGATAGAGATTCGAGTTTTCCAAAACCACCGCTGACACTTCAACTTCCTCCGCGGTAATAGCGAGCTAGATTGGGTCAATGAGATCATCATCATCATCATCATCCTTCGCCGTAAATCTCGTCCTTTAAGGAATGCATGCTCACATATACATCAGATTTTAGCTCGGGCAATATGGTTTTCCCTTTCTGTTCTAGTGCTCGCCCCTAGCCTTTTATGTATAGACGACGTAACATGCCAGCCTCAGCGCTCATTAAAAGCTCAACAAAACGGAAACTGTTCTATGGTAAGGCTTCTTATGATATTCCCGTAGGAGGAACAGTGCAAAGGTGCTTTGATAAAGAATCGTATGAGTTGATATCTCCCAGTAGCCACATGGCCTCTCCGTAGTTTATAGACTCCAAGGCGCTTTCTCTACCTTCCTTCCCTTCTTCTAGCTTAAAAGGCAAAAGTACACCAGACGCCTCAAACTTTGTAGTATGGCACCCAGATAGTGTACTAGGCGCTTGCCGAATAGAGTTATGGTCGTGTACATAGCCACTAACCCGAGAGTGATCTGCTCTCTTAATCACCAAAGGTGTACGGAGTACTACATGGCACTTTAAAGAATACCAGTGCAGGGCTGAAAGATATCGACAAGGAAAAGAGGAAACTTGTGCAAGCTCGAATTTTCATCATCGCTTTAGTGGTTCTCTTTGTTCAACGTGAAACTTGAATGTTGCCCACTCGTCGTGGATGCCTATATTGTAAGCTCCTTTTATTCCCATCCCTCTTAGTCGTGAGTTGTGCTTACCGTTGACATAAATCAATGTATATGTACATGCTTCACTTAGTCAAATGTGGCCTCAAACATTCAAAGAGTTGCGTAAGTGGTTCCCAAATCAGACAATCCAGTTCCATCCGGATTGATGAGATGTTGAGGGAAAGCACCGAAATACGCATACCCCTCCACGTAATCCTGCGATTCAGCCAAGGAAGAGCCTATTCCAAAAGCACAACTTGCTAGTCCTCACTTCCGTAGGACTCAAACTCCGTGATCCAAATTGGGAGACCCAAAACTTCTCGCGCGTTGGTCACATTTCCTTCGAAACAAACAGCATTATTCTAAACCTCGGGACTAATGCAGTCATGATAACAATGAATAGAAAAAGGCCGGGGTTTAATGTGGGTTTGTAGGCACCCGAAACTCCGCGTCTTGCATCATTGGCCCTGTTTAGTAATTTACCCTCATTACAAGAAATGGGGCCGAGCCAACTAGTGTGAAACGAAAGGGAAGTCGGGGAAAATGGGGCTGTCCTCGGGAATGAGTTGATTCCGCGAGTAATGACCTGAAAGAATCGTGTGTGACTTTATCAGAGAAAGCTCAAGTTAAACTCGCTATATTGTCACGAACTAACCCATATTAAACTCACAGAAACAAGCCGAAGAAGACTTCCAGGTGCGAGCTCCAGGTCTTAGTAAAAATAGAGCTGGAAGAATAAAGTTCAGTCGACATCAGCTCATGTGCATTCCTCGGAATAATAGTTACTTACTTCGTACATCGACCAGGATTCCTAAAGGATCTGCTAGCGTCAGAAATTGTTATATGCCGCGATGCCCCTTCTATCGATCCCTTTGAAAGATTCTTATTATATTGGTTATCTAGTCCTGTTATATGTAGTTTCGAAAGACAATCTTTTGTTTTCTTTAGCATCAAAACTACATCTTATCAGAATCCTTCACATCCGTAAAACTAGTCAGTACTCTTAATAACAGGTCTCTAGTATAATACTTTCTATTTAGATAAGGGTAGTTTGTGAGGTTTACTCACACCCTTAATGTAGTATGTTCAATAAGTGCTATCGTGGCCTTGTGGCTACCCATGTTTGTTATTCCTCCAACAACCAATTTGTAATTCATAAATATATGGTCCCATAGGTTAATAATAGCATGGTCGTAATCGAAACGTTTCTCGGTATATCCTATGACAAAATTGCTGAGTCCTATGAGGATAAATTTTGTTTGACTATAACCACAGCTAAATGTCTTTCACCGAATATGAATGTCTCGAATCACATTAAAATAATAAGCAGGCATTCTCACTGAGCGCATCGCGGTCGGTGCATTTTGACAGTAATAAAATACACACAAGGCCTTGTCTGAGACAGTGGGTTATACAGAAGTGGCACATTGACTTTGGTCCGTGGTTTGTACAAAGATGGGCCATCTGTCGTAATCAAGCTAATAGTGCTAGTATTTTCTTCACAAAAGTTGAGCGCCAAATATTTCTGTATAGCCTTGGAGTGCACTATGATTTACGAAGTATGGGGGCCGAATCCCAGTACCTTCAGTATTGGGTCGCCGACGAGCATCTTGTCTGAATGGCCACCTAAATGTTGGGCAGGGTTTCCAAGCTATTTATTACTAAATGTATAAATTGACTAGTCATCATGAGCTCTCTTTTTAGTGAGGTTACAGTCTCACTGGAATGCAGGGTCCCGAGATTCGAGAGTGATCGACCTCTAGTAACGAACGACGTCGGTTAATACAGCCTTATCATCAGATCGACTACCAAATTTGAGTGTTGATAGTTTCAAGGCATCAGTAGATATTCTTTTAGCAAAGTATAGATGCTGCTTAGGTCTAGCAAGCATCTTGTCGGAAAAAAGTACTACTACATACCATTAACGCAGCAAGAATGTGACCAGGTGAAAATGAAGGGCCCCGAGCGTAAATCAAGATCTAAACCCCTTGCATACTTTTTTGGGTTACACCTGCAGTAATGTAGGTCCATAGATGCCCTACAAGAAAAATACTGTACACCTACCCTTCGATTTAATGCGCCCATTTTAAACGCCCTTCAGACCTCAGCACGGATGATTCGACCAAACTCATTTTTCACAATTGGGGCATTTGACTTGGAGTTTAATGGCAGACAGTTCAAGTATGAGAGTTTTCCGGGATCAAGTTTACACAAATCGAGATGATATTCCGTTGAAAGAAGTTGGAACTGAGGAGAGTGATGATGAAGAAAAGCAAATCTATCCACCGATCTCAAAGCTTGCTCCCGTTTTGATCGGCCTTTGCTTTCAATCTTTTTGTATTGCCTTGGTAAGCCTCACGTTACTGTTGCTATTTTATGAGCTAATATGGACTTACCAGGACAACACAATCCTCTCAACCGCCGTCCCCAAGATCACTGAACAATTCAACTCACTAGGTGATATATCGTGGTATGCAAGCGCTTATCTTTTAACTACATGCGCCGTCACTCTGCCATTTGGCAAGATATACACATATTATTCGACAAAGTGGACATATATGGTGGCTCTGGGCATGTTTGAACTTGGGTCTCTTATATGCGCAGTGACCCCAACATCGAAGGGATTGATCTTTGGGCGAGCAATTGCCGGCATCGGGTCTGGAGGACTGTCGCCAGGTGCTCTCCTTGTGCTCGCGAATAGTGTGCCCCTTCACCGGCGTGCCATTTATTTCGGAATCATCGGTAGCACTAGTGGAATTGCGACAATCACAGGACCACTGTAAGGCTCACTATTTCAATTGTATAGAATGGCAGCTAATTTGGTCCTAGGCTTGGAGGACTTTTAACTGATCACGCCAGTTGGAGGTGGTGCTTTTGGATAAATCTACCGTTTGGTATCCTCACCGGCCTTGTCATTTTACTTTTTTTCAAGGATTCCACGTCACCAAAACCCAAGGTCAGTCGCCTTGGGCAGCTAAAGCGAATGGATCCTCTTGGTGTGCTTGCATTTATCCCCGCGGTCGTCTCCCTTCTATTGGGTCTGCAATGGGGCGGCACCAAATACAGTTGGAACAGTCCTAGAATAATTGCGCTATTTACTCTGTTTGGTATATTCAGCTCTGCATGGTGCATTATCCAGGTCTGGAAGCAGGACGACGCTACAGTACCCCCTCGTTTACTCAAGAATCGCAATGTGCTTGGGGCAGTGATTCATGCTACATTCCTCGGGGGCTCCTTTTTTGTCTTTGGATACTATGTGGGTTTCTAAGCTGATTCCTCTTAGCTTCATTGCTAACGAGCCTCCAAGATCCCTATCTGGTTTCAAGCAGTCAAGGAAGATTCTGCATCGGAATCCGGAATCAACAATCTTCCGATGGTGATAGCTATGATTGTGTTCTCTGCTTTAGGAGGGCTACTCGTGAATATCCTTGGCTACTATACACCGCTTATGTTCATTGGAAGCGCATTTCTTACAATCGGCTCTGGATTGTGTACAACTTTCAAAGTGAACAGCGGACATCCACAGTGGATTGGATACCAAGTCATTCTTGGAATTGGAGCCGGACTTGGCTTTCAGCAATGCATCAACGCACTTCAGACTGTCCTACCATTACGGGATATACCGATCGGAATTGCAATCATCACATTTGCACAGAGCCTCAGTGGCGCAATGTTTATTTCGATTGCCCAAACTGTTTTTGAGAATCGCCTTGTGGCCAGCATCGCAGCCAATGCTCCCGGTGTTAGCCCGAACGCCTTAATAAACGCCGGGGCCGCAAATTTATCCCAACGCGTGCCCAAAGATATTCTGCCCACCGTCCTACGCGCCTATAACACAGCCGTCATTCAAACGTTCTACGTGTCTGTTGCTGGCGCACTTCTATCTTTTATCGGTGCTGGGCTTGTTCAGTGGAAATCCATGAAACGACGACAGAAATATGACGGCGCAGATTGATCCAGTGAGTAACAGGATAACGGCATTTCCAATTTATTGACATATTTTATTGTTTTTCCCATCATTCATGGCCATCTGCCATCAGAGTGTTTGTAAATAAGGATGGATATTCAGATTGTCAGGAAAGTGAATAGGTACCATATATAGTATGTGAATTCCAGCCGTGATATCGATCTAAGACCCAATACGGAGTACAGCCAGTTGAAATGTACGGGACTATCATGGTTAATACAAGCAAATGATGACCCATCAAAAGTAAAAATACAATAATCTAACTTCAACGCCGGATTGTTGTTATCGTTACGATGTCGCCCCGAAAAGGTCGTCTTCGAACGATTGGCATAGCTCGCTCCATGTTAGCCATTGGCCGTCAACATCCATCCATGCGCCCGCAGCGTGTACGCCTTGGTCAGATGTGATCGGGTAGCCATGAGCGACGACCCATTTTCGCCCATCAATCAGGGCGTTGGAAATTTCCTTCTTTTCTTTCATAGACTGAATTCCCGCTTCTAGAAGGGACTGAGCATACTGTTGAAACCATAGCCGATACCACAAGTCATTGAGATAGGTCTTTTCACCAATGCAATGGAATAACCCATAGATACTTTTAGTCACTAGGTTTGTTCCGAGATGTATCTTCGTGACGAAATCTTTTGGGTCGGCATTGAGGACGTCAGAGATTGCACTCGATATTCTTATCAATGAGGAGATGACATTGATGGGGAGTTCAATCTCATAGGGCTGAAAATTCGGGGATTCAATCGAATTTTGAGTTATCAAGACTGAAGCACCAACGCCGTCGGATGCAGTTTGATTGAAAGCAAGATGTTCCAGGACATGGTCAGAGCCAGCACGGGTCTGGAAAAGCCCGGATTTGTAGTCAATCCCAATGTGAAATTCCGTTTTTTGGCCAGAAACCCTAGTTGGTACGATTCTATCCGGCTCTCCAGCTGGTGCGATCGTCCTTGGGTCCACATCGTCATGGAAGTAATGGTTGTGTCTGTTCACGGAACGCCAAAACTCTTGCTCCCCCCAGACATCACCCATGTACATTTGATCCGAGTCGCTGAATTCATGCTGTGGGTTATAGGTGGCGTTGATCCGCTTCAAAGTTGCTGCAAATAATTCTCTCATATCCCCGACTGGGCCCATTATGGTGCCAGAATTAAGCCACCGGGGCAGATTGTGACTGAAACCACCCTTGTCTGGTCCGAACGCGCCAACAGGGATGTCGATATCCTCAGGTATAGCCCAGCACCCTGGTCGATTCCCGTCGATTGGATAGCAGAGTTTCTCGGGACCAAATAGAATGGTTTGTCGTGGGCTGTTGTCGCCAGATAGGCTTTCCACTGAGTCCTGGCCAAATCGCGCAGCGATTTTGGCGTTTGCTGTTTCTATGACAGCGAAGTACCGTTGAATGAGAACATCGGCGGGAAGTTGGAAGACCACATCATAGCCATCAATCATGAGGGCGAGGTCGTCATTCGAATCAGAGGGTAAACTGTCCAGATACCGCATCACATTCCGGACTTTCGCTAGATGGGTAACGGAGGCATCCAAGTCCCCAGTTTTATTCCAACCATTGAACACGGGGACCGGATACCCCAGTATGGTCGATGATACAACGGCCCTGCATAGCTGCAAGTGAGGACCATTTGCAGGGATAAGCAGATGGAATTTTGAGGTTTTAGACAGTTTTTCTGCGCTGGGTAGAGTCTCATTGTTGGGTATGATCTCATTTCCCGGTATAGTCGACTATTTGAGAAAGAAGTTAATCTCTTTCCCTTTGTATGCGCAGGATAGTCTTCAAAGGCAATCTCACAACGTCGGATGATACTGGGAAAGAATGTCCCTCTACGATCGGAGCATGATATTGAAGTAGGGTGATCAAGGCAACTACCACGAAGCTGACAAGGATTACCCAATGCCAGCGACTAGTAAGTAGCATCATATTGGCCAAGGGTGACCACGTGCCAAATAAGTTCAGAAGTGTGTGGGAGGATAGCTTTCAGAAAGTGCAAAGATTTCGAGGTGCCCATGCGACCAAGACTTCAAATATCAAATCCGAGGATACGAGATTCTTCCATGCACCTATATTTCGCCCCCTTTTCCCCCTTTTTCGTATCATATCAATACGCCGGAGCCACCGGAAAGGAAATCTAACATGGAAGTGCATAAAGAATGAGACGTGGGGTTATACGGAGATCGTAATCGTACCCGAGAAATACAGAATACATAAAATACAATATGCATACATGCTATAGGTGTGGTTAAGTCATTTTACTTGGCATAAGGCAAGATTGCGTGGCTTGTCTATTTTATTTTGTTAATTGTAGAAAATAGGCACTCATGTCTTTCCCAATTTCTTAGACTTCACAATCTTGATCAAATAATGAGCTCAAAGGCAGATGAGGCAGAGCTGGCCTTACTCAACGACGACTCCCTCTCAACGGCGTCCGATGATCTTGAATCCAATCGCAAACATAAAGATACAACAAATACCACCGAGCCAGAATATCAGACGCCGACGTCTGTGAAGTTTATGTGGCTCGGTTCTTACTTCCTATTCAGCATGTTATTGACGTTGTACAATAAGCTCCTTCTAGGATCTGTGAGCATGGCCTCGAACATGATGAGTCTCAAATACTGATTTCCTTTCCACAGTTCAAATTCCCTTGGCTGCTAACATGTATGCATGCCACTTTCGCCTCGCTGGGTACCTCGGTACTATTGAAACTTGGACGTTTTAAACTCTCAAGATTGGGCCGAAGAGAACATCTGGCGCTGGTCGCATTCTCGGTGCTCTTCACGGCGAACATCGCCATGTCAAACCTTTCGCTGTATGTGACCATATGGATATCTTGAATGTTAAGCTCTAACACCTGCATAGATCCCTCGTGAGCCTAGCCTTTTTCCAAATCATCCGCAATACCGTCCCCATCTTCACCGTTCTGATATACCGGCTCTGGTTCGGGCGCTCGTACTATATGGCCACATACCTCTCCCTCTGTCCTATCATTATTGGTGCGGGAATGACTGTTGTTGGGGAATACCATTACTCTGCTTTTGGTCTATTCATCACAGTATTCGGAGTGGTTCTCGCAGCGGTTAAGGTACGATATTCTTGGACCTTTTCCCTTTTTAGGGTGGAAACACACTGACGAGATACAAAGACCGTCACAACCAACCGGCTGATGACAGGATCCCTGGCACTCCCTTCCATGGAGCTCCTGTTCCGAATGTCTCCACTCGCGGCGCTCCAATCCTTTGTGCTCGCGGTAATTGCCGGAGAGCTGCCAGCTTTTGCAGATTCCATGTCTCAGCGTGCAGCCGAGTCCTCCAGACTAGCCACCATGGCGACCGTCGCATTCCTACTTGGAAATGGACTACTGGCATTTTTCCTCAATGTTTCTTCTTTCCAAACGAACAAGCTGGCCGGTGCTCTAACAATCTCAGTTTGCGGGAACCTTAAGCAGGCTCTCACGCTAGCTATTGGGATCATTGTGTTCAAAGATTTCACAGTGGATATCTTGAACGGTATAGGTATCCTTCTTGTGATAGCTGGTTGCGCATTTTTCAGCAAAGCAGAGCTAGATTCTAAAAGAATCTCCGCGGTATAGATAGATATCCCCACTAGGCAGGAAAAGAATGACCGCTATCCTAATATTCACTCGAAAGTTGAGAAATAAAAATATACAAAACATGGTACTGTGCAGGTTCCCGAGAAAAGAGACGGCTCCGGCACCTCCCGGACGTGAATACCTAAGGATCCTCTACTATACAGATACGATACTGTTCTAGAACAGCTCGTAATATAGACACGTAAGAAGATGGGGGGCTCCTAAATATTAGAAACGTGAGGACACACGTACGCCTTTCTTTGATGCACGTGGAGGCCCTCAGACCTTTGTGGATTCAGAATGGCTGAGACAATGTCAGCTGTCAAAAGTGTATTCACACGGTCGCTTGTGATAATAAATAGAAAATGATATATTGGATTTCATACAGCTATGACCCACAGGTGAATAGGGCTGAGATCCATTGGACAATTTCTTTTCCATAGAAATTCTTGTATGTTATAGAATCTTGGATCCAGAATTGGTTCAGAATTGGGCGATAAAGTCCACTTTCCTACAGGAGTTTCCCCTTTCTTTCTTAGAAAAATATGTATACTATTAACATATTAACACATGTTCAATTAAAGACTTTGGATTCGTCTGCGGGCTACAGCCAAGCCATTTAGGGCGCCTTTTTTTAGCATAGGGAAAAGGACTCCACATTAATACACTTAATAGCAAGGAATAGTAACGTCCTTAATGGGAACTCAAATAAGTTAGGTTCTCGGATTTTCATACCCATCTCCCCACAGAAGTTCTCTAATACGATGTTACTAAAATCGCAGAAATGCAGTCCCAGAAATTTAGCTGATTCATCTATACGGTGAAGTCCACGGGCGTGTAACGGGGATGATCTCAGCTGCAGGGATGATAGATGGTTGCGATTGGTCTTATTGACATTGATTACGTATTTATGGCGATGCAAAGGTAAGGGGGCATTTGACCGCATGTCGACATGCATGATCCTCAATGGTAGATGTAAATACAATAATTACCACCGAGTTTTTAGCTTTGGTGTTTTGTACCTTCTATGGGGCATTTTCCGCCAACGGTTCTGTGAGGTTCGGGTCTACTCTGTCCGTACAGGATTAGGTCTAGGTATTGCTCCCCTGCAGTTATTTACTAATCTCTAACATTATCTTGGCAGTGTAAAGAAGTCGAAATTGACAATAAAAAGACATGTATCCGGAAGTCTTCTGTCTTCTGTCAAACACTACCTGGGCTCGCTTTGAGTGCATGAAGCTTGGTTTGAGTCTAACTTCATAACTATGTCCTTACCTACTGATCATGAATATGAGTATGGAGCAATCATCTCAACTGGGTCAAGTGTGCCGACAAGTACGGAACAAAGTCTGAATGGCACAGATGGACTCGACGTAGCGTCGAGTGGTACAAGGACCACGGTGGGGGATGATGGTGATCCAGATACTCCAGTTGGCCCAAGGTCAATACGAAATATTTGCTGCGTTGGGGCAGGCTATGTCGGTATGTTGTGCTACATTATGATATTCTCTTTTCTCGTGGCCCACAGACTGATTATCAATAGGCGGTCCAACTGCTGCTGTGATTGCATTCAAAAACCCACAGATTCGAGTCACCGTCGCGGACAAAGATGAGCGACGCATTCGAAGGTGGAACTCCCGACATCTACCTATCTACGAACCGGGGCTTACCGAAATTGTTCGGATTGTACGAGATGGAGTCCGGATTCATCCCACCCCGCCTGTGTCAACACAATCAGAGGGAAACCCACGCATATTAAACGAGCATGAAGCCCACAAAGCGCAGAACAGAGAAGAGGGAAGCACTGCATCCTCTCGGATACCGAACTTGTTTTTCTCCGCGAACGTTTCAAAATGTATTCGAGAGTCGGATATTGTCATAATTGCCGTCAACACGCCCACCAAAATGCGAGGATCAGGGGCAGGGAGCGCAACAGACATGACAGCTTTTGAAGCTGTCGCTGCGGATGTTGTGCAACATGCAAGGAACGGATCGATTATTGTGGAGAAGTCCACAGTTCCTTGCAAAACAGCCCAAATGATCCAGGAGATAGTACGTCATGCTATCCTATCTGGTCATGAAAACATGCTCACATTTTATCTACATAGATTGCTGTCCGTCGGCCTGGTGAGCACTTTGAAATTCTGTCCAACCCTGAGTTCCTCGCAGCTGGGACTGCAATTCAAGACCTGTTACACCCGGACCGAGTTATCATAGGTTCCGCAACTACAGAAGAAGGAAAGACTGCAGCAGAAACACTAGCTGGAGTCTATTCTGGCTGGGTTGACCAGTCTCGTATCATCACTACCAACATCTGGTCATCAGAGTTGGCGAAACTCGTGGCCAACTCCATGTTAGCCCAACGACTTAGCAGCATCAACAGCATTTCAGCACTCTGTGAGGCCACAGGAGCTGAGATAAATGAGATCTCGGCGTCAATTGGAATGGACTCCCGAGTGGGTGACAAATTCCTCCGCGCAGGCATTGGGTTTGGAGGTAGCTGTTTCAAGAAGGATGTCCTCAGTCTTGTATATCTTGCTGAGTCCTTGGGTCTCAAGGAGGTCGGGGCATACTGGCGCCAGGTGGTGACCATGAATGAATACCAGCGCAACCGATTTACCAGTCGCGTCATCAAATGTCTGAATAATACGCTGGTTGGCAAGAAGATCACTCTCCTGGGATATGCCTTCAAGAAGAACACATCGGATACCCGCGAAGCACCCGCCCTTGAGATAATCAAGACATTGCTTGATGAAAACCCTGGAGAGATCGCAATATTTGATCCTTGCTGCAATCCCTATGTCATCGAGACCGAAATCCGCCAGCTACATGAATACGGCCCTCCCGCTCTCAGAGATGACGGTGGCGCGGTGAAGGTTTACTCAGATGTCTATGAGGCCTGTGCCTCTTCCAACGCAGTACTCATTGTCACCGAGTTTGACGAATTCCGAAATACCGAATTGGTTGCCGTTCCTCATTCTTCAAACCCCCCATCAGGACATCTACCCTTGAACCAAGACATGCACCAGTCCCCCCGGATAGAAGCCATCCCTGTAACAAATAGTGTGATTGATCCACTATATGTCGCATACGATCAAGAGAATCTTGAGATTGAGCCTAATTGCGCCGTAGACTGCCCAGACTGCCAGAGAGAAAGCGGTAGCGAGGTCGCTGTGCGCAAACTCAGCAACAACCTTCCTAAGAAGCAGGTTGACTGGGAAAGAATTGGGAATAACATGAAAACACCGAAATGGTTATTCGATGGGAGGTGTATCATCGAAATCAAGAAGATGACCCAGCTGGGTATTCGTGTCGAGAGCATTGGATCAGCTGGCTTTTAACAATCCGGGGAGCAACGGATCCTCATGAGCTCTGTTCTTTTGATTTTTTTTTTTTTTGGTTCGGTTCTTTTTTTGCCCTTTCATCTAATATATACACTCAAACGGAGAGGTTGTGGGTTGGCACATCATCGTAGACAATAAACAAAATATACAGTAGATCAATTCGTTATCTCTTCTTTTCTTTTTCTCTTCTTTCGTTTCTTTGGGTCTATAGAATGCAGCAAGACTCTGCACGCACTGAAGGCTTTTTGTTCCCTGCACCACGACTGCCTCCTGGATCAGCCATAGAGACAGTCTCTAGAGGGGATTCTGGAGACTCTTTCGCAGACATTACTCGTATGCGGTGGCTATCCAGAGTAGATTGTAACCAGACAGCACGGCCCATCCATGGGATGTCCGCAAAATCAGACTGGTATTCACAAAGGATCGCCTCAATTCTTGCCAACTGGACTGGATCATCCGATGCCGCCCAAGCAACAACCAAGCATAGAGGAATATACCCTGCCCCAATTGGTCGGTAGCGAGAAGCCAGTTCGGCTTGGATAGTAATCTCATCACAGAGGAAGACAGCCTCACTCACCAAGGAAGCGTTCCAGGGATCATAGACTCGAAGAAGGCTGTTCAGCAACACGGCCAGCGTAGAGAGCATGACATAGGCTGCTTGAATACGGGAGTGTCTTGCAACTTGAGAGGATGAGAAAGACACAAGAATAAACTCAGCACACTGATCTAGTTGCTGTCTTATTTGATATGCATCGAGTCTCAATTTCATGTATGTCTTTGCAATTTCGGCAAGGTGTGGCTGAGGGTTTTGGACAAATTTAGGAAACACAGCAAGATGGTGCAGCTCGGTGGTTGACTGCGGTCGATTTTTGTCCTGCGAGGCAGATAGACGACGTTTGAAGGATGAGGTCAGTTCCCAAAACTCTGAATCCATTTTCACATGGGGGTTGACAATGCCTTCGAGGATCTGTTTAAATCATTGCCTGTAAGTAATCTCCCATGGCATTAACTGAACTTGTTTTTCGGAGAACCCAAACGTACTATAGGTACACTCAGTGTGATGACCATCTCCATCTCAAAGGCGCTTGTCCACTCATGTAATGCAGCAGCTCGAAGGAGATGGGCGATAGCTTCGCTGTGACTAGTGAGTGAATCATCGCGTGGTGCTACCCAGCTCTAACAAATAATTGATGATCAGCTCCTGTTTTATGGGTATATCCTCTTTAATGAGGTGCAAACTGAAACTTTACCTGGCAGATGGTAATCAAATAGACAGCACATAGTGTGTTGGGAGTTCGGGCCTCGACTGGATTGTTCAAGCATTCTCTTAGTGCCCGCAGCGATTGTCCATAGCGAACGAGTACATTTGGTGGGTAAGATCCCGTGTGAAGAAACGGGTAGGCAGTTGATAGGGCTCTCACGGCGGAATCTAGGACGGTGCTATTGCCCAATCGCCGTGGAATATCGCGGAGGAAAGGTCCATAGTAGGCCACACCATATCGGATATCAGTCACTTGAAATGCTGCTACAAAGGCTGCTGCGAGTATACTTGTTTCAGTGCTAGGTACCTGCGTCGGTCCCTCGACAAACACTACTTTCTTGCTAGAGAAATATGATCGAAGCCCCGATTGGCTTTCTGCGCCTTGTGCTTGCATCGCTTCTAGCGATTGATTCTTGAACATGTACCGCTGCTGTCCTGCTCCAACACACGTCATTTTTAGACGTGCGCATCGTGAACAAGTCGGTTTGAGTTGATCACACTAATGTTCAAATTAAAACGATGCAGCAAATCAGTCTTTTGGGAAACCAAACCTTCTTTTTCACCTTGCGACATGCATCGCAGCCACGGCTAGATGGAACTCCAGGCATGTTACCAGCGCTGCTCTAAGGAATGAAATATGAGATACAACAATGCTAAATAGGATCCCCAAATGGGATCGATGGGGCGACGCAGAGATGTTAATGTGACGTCATCGCTTTGTTGTCACAGCCCCAGCCAAGCCTGAAGCTGAGTACGTTGTGCATGTGCTCTCGTATACATACATGGATGTAACTATGTTGTAAGTGGAAGATGAAGGTCGCTTGGCAATTCTATAATTAAGCCAATCATATGCTACAATCACGCAGTCCACGTCCCGTAATACGGCGCACTATTATTCCCGACTGGGAAATAGGAGAAGATAGCCATAGATCAAGATATGTAGTCTGGCGATCATTACAACTTCAAAAGAAACAAAGGCAGTATAAAACCATCAAAAATTAAATGTGAAAAAGCTACTCTTCCACACTCATCAACCTTGGGTTTCATCTAGTCATTTTACGCTTCGACTCCCATCTCAGAATACTACATTAGTGTCTTGCAACAATGAGCTATATGGCGTTGTTCTCCTCCTTTTCCGCCAACGGGTGTTCAAGTCGACAGCCTTCTATCGCATTCTCGCTACGGCCGGCGCCATGGGATTCATCAAAGACTTTAGTTCACCCTTCAGGCTGCCCAACAGAGGCACCGCCTATATACTCTTTCACATATAGTTCACCCAACATGGTATTATTTCGGGGCTGGGGTGAGGGTCCATGGGACATCATCAGCGATGCTCGACTTCCAAGCCTTTCTTCCAAAATACACCTGAGCTTTTACGGCGAGCCAATAAACATGCGTTTGAGCCAATTGTCTGGCAACTTCACGCTCGAGTCACCGGCCATCGGTAAATTGAAATGGAAACTCGATGTGTTAACGGGGAGGAACATGGAGTTGCAGGATGCTACTGGTCAAAAGCTGGCCAAACTACGACCAGGAAAATCGGGCGAAAAGGTCTTGGAAATCCTCGTCTCTCATGACAGTCGTTTCCTTGAGTTGGTACTGTTATCAGGGTGGACTGCCAGGACTATGAACAAGTCGATGACAGAGGCCACAGGTGAAATTCTCGGCGCTGTTGTGGGGGCTTAATTGGTATCACCAGTCCTAGGCTGTGAGAGTATCTTAATACGGCCCTTACTTGATTGTCAATGATCTCAAACCATACACTCATCTTGTCTTGTGCACTACAATGCTGTCGGATGTTTTTAGCTAGTTCTAAGTGTATAACTCTGTTTGAAAAGCACCCGCACTAGTGCCAAATTAGGAGGCTCCAGTGCTACTTCCCAAGGCACTGAAGGGGGCTGACCTTGTATTGTACTTCGTTTTCAAGTCCCTGGGCATACACATTGATGTTGTCCCCGTGAATCTGAGAGAGAAAAAGGTGAGCAACTCCCTGAAGTGAATAACATTTGGAGTTTCCGCTCAATATCGCATCTACCCAATTGAGTCTGCTAACAAGGTCCAGTGCGAGTTGGAGACAAGCTACATTCATACACCATCACTGACTTTGTCGAGGGTCAGCAATATGGAAACGTAAGTATCGAGTATCAAGGGGATCGATCGGCTTGGAGGTTCGTATAACTAATGTGTGACATTTGTTTTAGCCAATCGAGGAGAGTTGGGGGGGGCGACTATAGGCCATAAATCACATGGATTGGCTCTCCGAGACACAATGAGATAGCTCTGACCCATCTGGCTTACGGAAACGAGACTACGCAGAGTACCGTTTACTCGTATGCAGCGATGATAGCTGAGATCCCACCATTCCTGGAGCGACAGGGACTTGTTGAGGCAGGAACTTTGTCGGGGAGTTGCCGATCTGAAAGGATTCATGCTTGCTTTCTTCGATATGAGACATTCACCTGCTTGTCTTTGGCTTTCGTTGACTGGATTTACTGTTCTCTATCATCTTGTCGCTTTCGTTTACAAGATGAGGCAGAATATGATTTTAGGCCATAGCTTTAGGAAATAGCACACAATTCTCTATTTTTCCACTCGAATACTATCAATAAAAAGGATCTGTCACATTAGCATTCAATAGCCACACTCTATCTGGAGTTATTGCTCCCTCTGTTCGTGCCTTATTAAAGCGGGATCGGTGGTACCCGATACGGTATGGGCCCCATATCACGACTAGATAGGGTTTATCGTTAATGACACGTTTTCTGATCTTGTTTGACTTGGATATAAAATCCTGAAAAATATCTTCAACCTCCTGTTCCTAGCCTTGGCAGTGGCGAGCGTTCTCCGGTTAACAGACAGGTACAGGAACCGGATACGAATACGAGTACGATGTAGAAGGGACAAAAAGACTCTTCAAAGATAGCTCTTTTTTCGGGCTCTTGAGACTCGAAGGGAGATGAGACAGGCCAGATAATGAATCCGTATAGGCTGAGGAACCGAGACAAGCACAGACATCGAATCTGGGGGCCAGGGGCATCTGGGCCTATGAGAAATGGACAACACACCCATTTGTCGGATGTCAGTGAGTCTGGTGGAGATTTTGCCTGTGCCAAGCTGACTAGGGCTGACCGAGGCTGATCGGGCGGTAGAGGAAGAACCTAGCATCTCCATCCAGAGTAGCGCTTTTAGGGGGTTGCCTAAGCTGGAGATTGCATTGTCCAAAAAGACTCCTTCCCGCAAACTCTATTCTAAAGATGAGAAATAAACAATGTTCATTATATATGCAAGAAATTATGTTTGCCAAAGCCAAGGCGTGCTGTACAAAACCTTTGGTTCTAGTCCTTTGGTTTGGGCCAGCCATCGATGTCTCCAAACCATCGCGACCGATAAATTTCATCCCCTACCATGACCTTGGTCCGCACCCCATTGGACACGAGACTAGTATAATTCCCTCGGAAGAGAGTCCAGAGAGACTGCGTGTAGATGTAACTACCATCGGGGGCGAGACTGAACCCCTTGAGATCCGACTGCGGCAAGTCCACGTATTCCCCTGCGCGGTTGGTCCCGTGCCGATCGTTGGTGGTGACCTCGAAGCCGGGCATATATTTCTCAACGACTTCGTCATAGGAGGCGGTGAAATTCATCTTATCGATATCAAAGGCGTGGAGCCCGATATCGTTGGAGACGAGGAAGACTCGTTCGTTGGGTACGGGGACGAGATCGTGGGGTCCCGCCCACCAGCTGTATCCATGGCCCCATTCGGCGTCGATATCGTAGTATTCCGGGAATTGGAATCGATAGGCTTCATCGATGCGGAGGAGACCGGTCTCGGCATCGAAGGGGTATCCCTGAATGACGCCGTAGGCGGGTTCGGGATCGGAACCATCGGCGGCGACATTGGTGCCGGTCGCCCACAGCATCTGGCCCTGTTCATCCCAGATCATGGCATGGATGGCACGGAGACCTTCGATCTTTTGTAATACGGGGGGTTCATCGACAAGGGGGAGCGCCTCGCTCATGTTGTAGACCAAAATTCCATCCCACGGTCGTTGCCCGGTGGTACCGACGGCGAGACGATCACCAGGTAACGGCTCGATGGTGTGGGCATTGTGTAAGACATCGTTTGCTCTGTTGAGGGCGAAGGTGATTTTCTTATCGGTGGAAGGTTCATCGGGGTGGTGGTTGACGACGACGACCAGGGCACTGTAGACGGCAGCCACACTTCTCCCCCCTCGCATCCACTTCATATCTGTGGCATCGTTGAAATGGCTGTATAAACCACTCTTGATCAAAGGGGGCAGCGGTTGGGTAACATCCTCTCGTTGCCAACTCCATTTGACGACACTGTTCCGGTCATGAATTTTCAATATGGGCGGGATGCCATAATGACCGGTAATGATCTCTTGCCAGGGACCCTGTGCAGGAATAGCTATACTATTTTCCGCCTTGAGTCTTGGTTGAGGTTGGATGAGAGGGACCTGAAAGGCCAACGGCTCAAACAGGAGCGAAATCCAACCGAACGCGCTCCCCAACATGATGATCTGAGATAGAGCCGAGAGAGGAGAGAAGGCAAATCAAAACAGAGAAGAAACCGGATTTCTTTTTTTTTTTCTTTTCCAAATGCGGAAAGCGGGGACAGCCTTGGCTCCAAGGGACATTTGGGGGGAACATTCGGGACATTTGGAGGCTGATAGGGGGAAATTGGGGGCCATTTTCAAAATGGTCACGCTTCCATTTACCCTAAGTATAATATTGAACGTCTATGCATAGAAAATAAAAGGAGAAATTTTTATTTTATTCCAATCAAACTAGAAGTAAGATGAATACTAAATATCAAATAGTATAATGGTATAATTGTAGAGAAAAAAAAAAAAAAAAAAAAAAAAAAGAAAATGGGACATGTCCAGTCATCGTCTCCACTAAATCCCACTTGGCTTGGCTAAAAAGAGAGACCCTTTCTCCTTCTTCTTCTTCTCTCTCTTCAATGTCCGGGGGTGTGTATATACCAAGTTCTATATATCATGAAAGTCGTTCACGCTGTACATGCTTATTTGAGCAACGGCATCCGGCGTGTTCGTCAGTCTCCTGCTGAGACCCTGGATGCCGTCTGGGACTTTGCCCGTCGTTATTTTTTCACGCTCGCCTTTCTTTCATTATTTCTGGCTAAATTCTTGCATCTTTACGCTCATATATACTCTCTACCCCTACCGAGACTCTTCCTATGGGGGTTGACCTTCTTTTTCCAAGATGTCATGATCCTACTATTGTTCCGCATTCTTGCCCAAAAGGTCGCGTGGCGACCGGGAGCCGCCATGCTCGCAATCTTGGTTATCCCCTCTAGGTAAGTGCCCACGTGCCCCTTTTTCCACCAACCCCTTCCACTGAGATGAACTCGGGAATACCTGGAATATATATGGAATACATGGAATACCAAGATACTAATAAGCATGCAGTCTAATCATGTCCTTCATGGCTGCCGCCAATACCTCCTTCTATGTCTTCACCGGTGCCGAGATCCACTGGCGCCAAGCCAAAGCCTTCAATGGTGATGCCGCCGCCATTCATACCCTGCTCTCCGGTTTGACCGGCTTCTTGATCGTCGAGGGAATCCTCTTGACAATCTCATTGTTCGCTGCCCACTCCATTCATGCACTCACTGGAGGAATCCTGCATGTCTGGGCCTGGCCCGTTCGGTGGTTGTGGGCTCGTGTGCGACCGCACGTGGAGCCCCTGCTCCAGCGCTTCTGGCCCCGATCCAAATCCGAATCCCCCGACCTGCCCGATCCTCGAATCTATGAACAGATCAACATGGATGACAACGATGATCTCAGTGATAATGAAGAAGGGGACCATCTGTTGAATACCGCCCAACTCCCCAACCGCCTCCCAGAGTCCAAGCGAGTCACCGATGGCGTCCTTCAACGGACCATCATCCTGGGATTGTTCAGTCTCTTCCTCTTCCTCCGCTTCATGCGCCCATGGGATCCCATCTACATGTACATGTCCACCACCTTGCCCTTGACCACTGTCATCGAGGGCGCCGAGCGTCACTCCCCTGTCGATACCACCGGCGTCCCTGGGAATTTGAATTATCTGGAACAGGCCACCGCCTTGCGCCCCGCACCCCGTTGGAGCTGGATGTCTAAGGAACCCATCACCGGTTTCGAGGACTGGGATCAATCCGATCCCATGGCCCTGCACTACAACCCCAACGAGGACCCATTGCACATCTCCAACCTCGACCAGCCCGTGCTGGAGGAGATCCACAAGGCATTGTCGAGCGGCGAGGTCAAGATCAAGCATGTCGTGTTCTTGAAACTCGAGAGTGCCCGTGCCGATATCTTCCCCCTGCAAAAGGACAGCTTCATGTATAAGCGCATCGCCGAATCCTGGAAGGACAAGAAGATTCCCCAAGAGGTGGTGGACCGTCTGGCCAATCTCACCCGCACTGCCGAGTTTTTGACCAACTTCCCCAATGGATTTGAGCACGACGATTCCCGGTTCGGCCGCAAAGCCTACGGTGGCATCAGTGCCAGGGATGCCATCACGAGTGCCACCTATACGCTCAAGAGTTTGACGGGAAGTTTCTGTGGTGTGACCCCACTGGTCGCTGATTTCAATCGCGAATTCGACCACCACATCTACCAGCCCTGCCTGCCCCACGTCTTCGACGCTCTCAGCCAGCAACCGGATATCACCAGCGAGACCGACGACTTCACCAAGTGGCCATGGCATTCGACTTTTATGATGTCGGTCACCGAAACCTACGACAACCAGGACAAATTGACCCCCCAATTGGGATTCCGGGACAAACAGACCAAGGAGACCATCATTGATCCCAAAGCCAAGTATTATCCGGTCAAGAGCAAAGAGGTGAACTACTATGGCTATCCCGAAACCGAGCTTCGCGGATACATCAGGGATGCCATTGATGATGCCGAGCGTGACCACCATCGTCTCTTCCTCACTCACCTCACCAGTACCACTCATCACCCCTGGGGAATTCCCAACGACGCCTTTGAAGAGATCATGGGCTCCAAGTCCGGGTCGAACAACGATATGAATCGGTACCTGAACTCGGTGGGCTATGTGGATGATTGGCTCTCGGAACTCATCGGTATCCTGGAGGAGAAGGGAGTGGCCAATGAGACCCTGTTCGTCATGGCGGGAGATCACGGTCTTTCCCTCCCCAACGACGGCGGTATCACTCCCTATGACAACCCCCACGTCGGTAGCTTCAAAGTCCCCATCGTACTTGCACACCCTCAGCTCCCTCCCGTCCAGATCGACACCCCAGTCATCAACAGCCAGATTGTCCCCACCATCATCGACTTGTTGATCGAGTCGGCATCCCTCAGCGAGGACAGCACCCGGTCCGCCCGCGATCTTCGCTCGCTGTACGAAGGGCAGTCCCTGATCCGGCCCCAGGTCGTCGAGCACGAGGGACGCGAAGCCTGGCATTTCACCGTCATGAACACCGGTGGCTCCTGGCTCTCTGTTCGCTCGGCCGCCAAGCCCGAGTTCCGCCTGGTGATCCCCCTCGTAAACGACGTGGAGTGGCGCTTCTCCGACGTGTCCAAGGACCCGAACGAGCTGAAGCCGATCGAGCGGTTCAGCTTGGTTGATCTAGCGGCCGCCGTCGAGCTAGAATATGATGAAAAGACTCTGGAATGGCTATACAACGCCTCCTATGTCGCCAATTGGTGGGTATTGGAGAACTGGGACCGATGGAGATACTCTCCAAAGGAAGAAGAGCCCAAAAAAGATGCAGGACACAAAGCCTAAACCTTCTCATGAACCGACTTGGGCGCAAATCTTCATTTACTTTTCATCTACCATAATACTTGCATGCCTCATCTACCAAGTGTCTGCTTGGAATGGGCACTCTGGGTTTACGACAATTGCCACCATGGCGAGATCGGCCAATTTTGATGGTCGGGTCCCGGGCATGGGGGGTTGGGAGCGAGCCGAGCACAGTTTCGCCAGATCGATCGCGAAGCCTTGCGTTGATCGTTTGGTTCGGCCTCAATCTCGAGAATGAGACACCGTGTGTCTCACGGGAGCTCCCAACACCCAACTCTAGCATGTCCTCCGGAGTAGAAGCGATTCTTTTTCATGATTCTTCTACATGATTCTTCTACATGTATTTGTTTATATATCCATCCTATCTACTATGAACACCTGTACTTATCATACCTGGATGTTATTTTTTTCTGTCATATTATTGCAAATATCACCTTTCTCTCATTCTCTATCCCATAATCTTTTTCAACGTAGACCTGTTCCAAGCATGAACTATAGTAGTCCACATAAGCTTCTTTTTCTCATGGAGCATCGAGATTTAGTTTGAATCTAATGCAACCTTACCTGGGCTGTGTAACCTTGGGGGGTTGGTGAGTCGATTGACTTCCGTTCCATCTATGAACTGGTAACTAAAATAGGAGCGATGTTAGAGAAAGCAAACCGGAAGCAAAATAAGTATTCACCAGATACGGAATATGATGTAGTCAACTATTCCTAAGAGTAATGACATAACTATAATGTAGCAGCGGTACCTGTGCCTGGTGCCTGTTTGTGGGATATTCACATGTAACCCACCATATACTAGAAAATGAACTATTTATCCTAAGATAAGTTAGAATCCGTGTTAAAGGCTCCCCGATCAAAGTGTAATGAATGATTCAAGCCAAAATATCACCGGAAATGGGTCAAAGGAAAAGATAGAAGCGTCAACTGCTACCCTCTGGATCTATGACGTGTTGCAAAGTTCTGTTCATGTTATTTTCCGGCTTTGGCATACACATATGAATTGAGATGTGAACCTTGGGAATTTACAAGTGCTTGGTTATGGAAAGTCATCCCGTTTATGCTTTCTTCTGGATGAGCCTCTTATAACGCAATGACTATCCTTCCAGCTATGAAGAAGGACATCTAAAAAGACATTTATAACGACATCAGAGTGTCAATTTGCGATAACATCCCTTATACCTCAAGTGTATTTCCTATACCAACGGCAATCTAGAAGTAGATGTATCCCCAAGAGTTCCATTACTACACTCTAGCCTGCTGTCGCATATTTGCCGGTTGGGTTGCGCTCTTCGTGCAATTAGACGATAAACCAACTTTGGTTGGAAGATGAGAAACGGAGACATAATTTCTACTGATTTAGGTCATCAAGTTATTCCAGTAGTCTTTAAAGCCCCTGTTATAACATTTGATTACTACCTTAGAATAGGGTGCTTGGATAGTGCTCAATATGAGGCTATAGCTAGAAACAACTGTCGATTGATAGCAAAAGTGATGGAGGTAGTAGTTTCCCGGTCAGAACTGCAGCAGCGACATGGAGGCTTTTACGAAAACATGATGTTGACAGGGTGTATGCATCGCAGGATCACCTAGTGCTCTCACAACTTCAAGGTCTCATCAAACCATTACAGCTTGAATTAATATTGTCTTGAGACTGGGTTGAGCTGAACTGGGAGTTCAATTGACTATTCTGATATATTATGTAGTAGTAAAAAGAACTTGCGTGTATGGACTATCCTGCTACGTAGCAGGAAGTGATGCCCATATGCATATACTTGAGCTTTATTTAGATGGTCAACCCTCTATCACACACCACATTCACTAATAGATGAGGGTTTGATTAAATTAGAATGGGTCGATGAATTGCTCTAGGTTACCCAAGTGACGATTGTCACCAGCCTTGTTGGCCAGTAATTTCCCAGCCCCTGGGTGGAGCAGATGTGGTTAGTTGGTGTCATGATACACATGGGTTTCTGAGGTCGGTATATAATATTTGCAGAAGGAAGGGCTAGGAAGTTAGTTTGTAGGGAGGTAAAGCCATGTTGCGTAACGAAATAGTGGCCGTGATTGATACCGAATGTTGTCTGGCACTTCTGGACTGACTAGAGATTGGCAGCACGTAAAGTTGATTCCACCAAACTTTCTCCTCTCCCACCATCTACAACAGAGCATAAACAGTATTATGTCCAGCGTTAGGGAAGAGCCATGTTGCAGATATGGACTCGGAGGACCATGAGTGGGAAGAGAGAATACAATCAAGTTAAAGACCAGATAGAGATGTGTGACACAGTTATTCATGCACATTAAAGTATTGCGCCAATGATCAAGGTACGTCCACAAGTAATATGTACAGAGGGACTCGATTTGAGACCCAAAAGTAAACAAACAGGAAAAGGAGGAGCAGAACCAAGTCAGGACTGATTCCACCACGCCGATTAAATGCTGTAGATTTACCAAAGAAAGCACCCGGTGTGCCGGGGTTGCAAGGAAGACTCAATGAGAGCCTCATTGCTCATGTCTCATCGCTTCATGCAAACAAAGGAAATAAAAAGGGAAAAAAAAAATGACAAAGGAGAATCGTGGGAACGCCATCCACAACCAATGGAGAAGCCTCCAGAAACAAGGGATATCCAACTCCAACTCATGAACACAAATCAAAAATTAGACTAGATGACGACGACATCACCCTCGGCATCGGCGGGGTCAGAGACCATCATGTCACCGTATTTACCAACCGCCAGCAACATAGTATCATCCTCGAGATCAATCGCGCTGTCATCATTGTTATGACCTTGGAAGCCCGGATCTTGAAGAGAGAGTCGCTTCTCGCTGGGAGGGTGTTTGAATTCTGGGTGCTGACTAGGAGGGTGACTTGGGTGGCCATTATGAGCCACAGGAGGACTCAGGTTGGATTTGGCTTGGGAATCATTTGATGCGTCGAAAGGGGATGTCTCAGGAACAGACGCTTGTTTCATTTGAAAGTGACCAAGTGACTCGGGACCAAACGTCGCACTTTGCAGTGATCCAGGGGTGTTGCGCATGAACCCACCCTTCTCTGCTTGCCAGACCATCATCTCGTGGAAAAAGACTTTTGTCATCCACCAGGCACTAAAGCTCGGGGCTCCAGCCAGGGTAAGTCGGTGCAATACGCTATCCCACAAGGCATCAACCTTTTCAATGACACACTGCGTGCGATGGTTGGCAAAGGCAGCGGGGATGTTGAGGATAAACTGAACCCATTTGTCAGGGAAATTGTACTCGTCTCCGGGAGCACTCTCCACGGGGAACTTGTGAGCCTCGACAGAATCGGGGGTATCAGGTTGCGTGAAGAAAAGCAAGCTTGCGGAGGGGTCGGCATCAGTCAATGGAGTCAAGAGCGCGCGGATGTCATGCTTGAGGATTTGCTCCGTCGCTGGCTCGGCACACGTGGGAATGTTCGCCTTGGTCATCATATCTCTAGGATTGACCATGGTCTTAAAGTCGGTCCACATTTGGTTTCGGTTGTCCGGGTGGCAAAGCCAGGCGGCAGCGGCGTTGGCAGCCTGGTTCACATCAAGCATATGCTTGAGGAGATTGCAAAAGATATGCGCGGGAATCAAGCGTGCTAACGACACATGAGTTGGTTGGGTCTTGAAGGTCTCAGCGATGTGACCGCAAAGCCGTTGTGAGATGGAGTTAAAAGCGTCCAGGACCGGCTTGGGAACCACCTGAGTTGTCAAGGGCGCCACGAACGCAATCATCTTTTGGTACATCATCCAATCACATTCCTTGATCCACGGAGCAAGGTTGGGGTGAGTCAACAACTTCTGAACAGGAACAGTCAATGTTCCATGAAAAGCGGAGAAATATTTCATAAGATTTCGTTCCTTACAATAGCGGAAGCTGTCGATGACCGAAATGCAGTGCGAGCGATATAGGGCAGCAAGAGCTGCTGCAACTTTCAAATCGGTGTTTGCAGGCAAGTAGGCACGGATATCGGGAAGTTGAAGGGTATCATTATCCACCAAGGTGTTCTCATCCATCGGGAACTGAAGCATCTGGTGTATCATTTTCCCAGCCTGCTGGGCTACATTCTCGCGGGTGATCGTTGCATCTGGCCCAGCTGGAGTTTGACCTTGGCAATTACAGTCGGCAGGAGAGGCATTGTTCGGGAATCGGGGAGCGAAGGAAGTTGTGGGAGATGGGAACACGGCAGTATCGGCAGTCGGTTGCTGTACGCTAGCACTAGTCATTTGTTAGCGAGAGCAAATGAAGATCGATGTCAGTTATATCTCACCTTCTCGAGCGCATCGCACTGGCGGCCCTGGAGGGCATAGAAGCAGGGCCATTTGAATGATGAGCAATTTGTGGGTTGAGAGGCGCAAGCTTTTGCTGCTTTTCCTCAATGACCGACAAATCGACGTAGTGATACTTGGACTCGCCTCGGACGCCAAGACGCCGGGTCTGTACATTGGGGAAGATGATGCGAACCAACTTTCCGAATGATGCAGGGTTCAATACTGAGACGCGCTCCGTTCCACAGTTCTCTGCATAGCAGCAATAGACCCGGTCACGACGTACTGAACCACTGCTCTTCCGGCAATTTTCTCTCAGCCTGTATATGCAGTTAGACAAATAGTTGCAGGGCATTTGCAGCAATATGCCTTACCAGATCATCGCGAAGACCTGCTTCACTTTCTCGGCCTTGCCCCCACCTCCCTCGTTCTTCATAACTTCAGCCGCCATTTGCTTGAGATTCCATCCCTCATACTGGCGAAGTAGCTTTCGCAACTCGTTGTCGTTTGCCACCGTCGAGCTCGCTCCTCTTTTCTTTTTAGTCCCTGGCTCCGAGATTTCTTGATCCTCGACCATGTGGTCCGGAAGGTGGTTCTCGACACCACTATCATATATTTGCTGATATTGTGGAACGGGTACACCGGGTAAGCCAGTTGCAATTTCGGGCTGTATGGGGTGGTGGGAAAGCGGGTGACCTTGCATCTGGTGATTGGGAAAGTCTTCGGCTCGAGACATGGCGGAGTGGGCGTCTTGCATTGATTGATCCAGCGGTGCACCGTTCTGGTGATGTGAAAGCTGATGCCCAAATCGCATCAGCATGTCTTCTGGGTTGTTGAACATGTGTTGCCCCGTGCCGACTTGTGATGGCATAAACTGTGGGAACCCGTCAAGGTGCTGGTCTTGGGTTTGCTGGGTGGTACTCGAGTGGATGCTTGCTGTTGATCCTCGGGATCGAGGACGGCGGCTAGCCCTGGAAAGAGCCTCGGAGCGTGCTCGCACAGGGTCTGCAGTACCTGGCCGGCTTTGAGGGGCAATCTGTGTTGTCTGGGACACTATGCTGCCCTGCGAGTGAGCTCGGGCTTGTAAGCACGTCAGCATGGGGAACCCAAATGACCCGCAGAATATTTTTTTAGTGCATTGTACTTACCGAGTTCTGGCGGCATCATGCTCTGCTTCGTTTGAGTTAGTAAGTGGAGGAGCCGGTAACCAGGGCGATGGCCAGTGTTTCTCGTTTCGCAACGTTCACAAGACCATTCAAATCCAAAAATCGGCAGGCACACCCGACAAACAAAATATATAATCCAAAACGATGCAAGCACATTAACCAAAAAGTGACGACTTGTGGCGAGCCTTGGGCTCTGAAAGGCTAGCCGCGTTGTGTGAGTCGAGGGAGGATAAACAGAAATGGGCCCGTTCCTCTGACAACGTTGTTTTTCCCATCCAGTCACGTGCTGGCGGTCAGCATTCCTATCACAACAAAGGGTCTTGACAATGAGCTCAGGAATGATTCACGTTTGAATATAGGCCTAGATTCTTGAACATGATGAATATAATCTCTCATATCTTCAAAGTTGCATACGAGTTACTGTCATTAAAAAATATCATTGTATGTTCCGAACTTGAGCTCTTTGGTTATCACGTGACCTACGTCAACAATGTCGTCTCGTTAATTATAGGACCTTAGTTATATAACTAGTTAGTTGGTGGAAAACTAACACAATACATACAGTGGTGTTTCATGAGTATTTGACCTTGGGTACTTCGGCCTGGGCCCACTTTGTAGGCCCACTTTTAATATTGCCTGGCAGAAACCTCCGAAATTCAATCCAATTCAATAGCTAGTATGCCAACCTTCATATTTAATGGGGATTGATATATCCACCCCCCCCTTGGATAATCTCACCCCCCCATGCCTGATTTTGGCCTGATTTTTGCGTCTGCCCTAACCATGAGGCATCAACTGACCGCTTTTCTCGCCGCCTTCTGGTCAACTTCTGAGAATTCAGAGTCCCTCCGTGGTACCTACCCTTACTATGTAAACTACTAGCAAAACTAAGTCACTCCGTAGTTAACAGGAAACGAAAATCTCAATAATGGCTAACGCCCAGTTGATTTATCAATTCTGGCTTCCAGCTTGGAGTTTATCATTCTCAACCCATTTTTCATCGCATTTGGTCCTCAAAAAGCCTCAATATCATCAACATGTTAGGCCTCACATACCTCTTACTATTAAGGAAAATGTAGACAGTTATGTAAAGCCTTCTATGACATTCAGCCCTTATTTTCTGAGTAAAATAAGGTCTTTTTTACTATGTAAACCAGAATTCAAAACTGCAGTTTGGGCTGGCAGAATTAGGCCGGCAGAATATAGAGATGCCTTATAGTTAGGGCAGATGAATTATATAAGCGGAGAATCAGGCCAAATTTCAGGCAGAGGGGGGTGAGATTATCCAAGGGGGGGGTGGATATATCAATCCCCTATTTAATAACATCAGCAACTCTATGAGGCATGGTATCAGATAGGTGCTTAAATATCTCGATATCTAACCCCTCCCAAGCTTCCTGGGCAGCGTCGACTAGTAGATCCAGCGTAGTCTCGTTATTTGGGAGCTGCATTAGCTCGGGGTGTCGCTTTAGTATTTCGGCCTTTAGGAGCGCCCATAGGTTCTCAATTGGATTTAAATCAGGTGAATAGGGAGGCCATTCCATGGTATCACATTCAAGCTCATTAAGGGTCCCCCGAATGATATGGGCTGTGTGAACTGGCGCGTTATCTTGTTGAAAAATAGCATCTTGATCGATACTATTAAGAAGCGTTGGAAGAACACGCCGGTAAAGCTCTTTAATAGTCCGAGATGAAACACCACCACGGCGAGATTAAGGATCACCGAATAGTGGAATTAAACCAGAGCGTCGTGGAAGACCAGAAAAGGCAGCCCAAAACATCTGTTTAATCTGTTTCCCACGGGGTGGAACCATTTGGACTTAACGGCCCTCTTCTTTATGCTCCCAAAGCTGGTCCTTTAGACGGGTAAATGTCCATTCTTAACGCTGGCCAATACCACGTTCAATAGTACACTCGTCGGACCAATAGACACGAGCCTAATCCTCGGAAGTAAAGTGCTCATATCTTCGCGCCCAATTAAGGCGTTTTTCCGCAGATAGAGGTGTTAAAGTAGGCCGTTGCATTTTCCGCCACTTTCGAAGGCCCATTTCATGGGTTAGCCGCCAAATTGAGGTACGTTTGACCTTATTATCGACCTCTGTAAGTAGGTCTACGACTAAGATTAACGGGTTTTGTTGTATAGTCTCATAGATATGGTCACGGTCGTCCTCGGTAAGCTTCCTTGGCCCCCCTGAGCGTGGTAAAGACTGTTGCTTTTGACGCTTTGACTCTTGAGTAAGGGTGTACTGAATAGTTGAGCGTGGAATGTCTGGAAATCGCTTCTTTTTTATAGTTATTGCACCCCAACCATTGGTACGATGTAGTTCACAGATCTGAGCTCTAGTAAGACAGTCAAGCTCTGGGCCTCTTTTCCCACGTATGGGAGGCATGGTTTAGTATAGAGAATAAGAAAACAGTGCGAAAATTCCTTTAAAACGCGTTGATATCTAGTGTATATGCTAGCGCGTCAGGGTGCACGAGGTTTAATATACTAATATAGTAGGCGGTCTAAAATGGCGGTCAGAGCCTAAGGTGGGACTCGAAGTACCCAAGGTCAAATACTCATGAAACACCACTGTACCTTGCAAGGCATCTAGTGTATATTAAATCCTACACAATACACCATTCAACTTGTAATCTCAATTTGGAACTCTAATTTCGGAAGTTTCAAATTCAATTACATCATTGGATCTCATCAGCTATATATAATGTTGCTCAACCATATATATAGTATACCTTAGATGTACAAGCTGGATAATCGGATACCTACAGAGATATATATTGGCTTAGGATGATGTTAGAAGTGTTATCATTTATATACTGCGATGTTTATACGTCTTTTAAATATTTATAGCTAGAAAGATATTGACAAAACATAGAATCTAGTGAAAGCACAGTCGGTTCCTACAAACCGAATGTTTCCTGTATAACTTGAGAAATCCTTTAATTCTCACATGAATGTCCAGCTACTATATATCTCCCCGAGATATATGATCCACCGGATCTCTTTTTATGCCAAGAAAGAGGCGAGGATATTACCATGGAAATCAAAAGTTCTCCACGCGGCGAACCCCGATAGTGGAAAAACAGGAACACATTGATAATACATGTCTATATAATAATAGTATAGTCTGATAGTATACCTAATAACGGCAGATTTCGATCGGCTGTTTTCTTGGCGATCTGTGATGTCATTTAAAACTTGAGATCTTCCCCCTCTCTTCCAACCCTCCCCCTCCCATCTCCAACTCACCAACCATGCAGAGATTCAAAGACAAGTTTGAACAAAAAATTGGTGATCTGGAAGGGTCCTTCAAAGGTATTAATATTCCCATTTCATCAAAGGAAACAAACTGACATTGTCCAAGACACTCATATCCACGATGTCAGAGCTGAAGCTACACACTTAAAGGCCAAGGTTGGCAAGTTCTTTAATATCATAAACCCAAATCATCGCCATGATGAGGAACACGAGCAAGCGACAGACCGCAAGCGTTCCGATATCGCAGACTCTCACCGCTTCAAGTCTTTTGCACCCGTCCATGATGGTAATCGCGTCAAGTGGTATGTCGATGGTAAGGACTACATGTGGGCCGTGTCTGTGGCGCTGGAGAAAGCGACCGAGACGATCTACATCGCCGACTGGTGGCTCTCCCCCGAACTCTTCTTGCGCCGTCCTCCGGTTGAGCACCAGGAATGGCGATTGGATCAGATCTTGAAGCGCCGCGCGGAAGCGGGTGTGAAAATTTATATCATTGTCTACAAAGAGGTTGGTATTCCCCTGTATCCAAAAAGAAAGAAAAAAGAACTATATTAATTCATTTATAGGTCAACCAAGCCCTGACTTGTAATTCTGCACACACTAAATATGCTTTGCGGAACCTCTGCCCCGAGGGAACTCCTGGCTACGGCAATATCCGAGTTATGCGCCACCCCGACCACAATGTCTTTGAGAACGCAGCGGATATGACTCTTTACTGGGTATGTGGAGGAAACTCTATTCAATTGGGACAGAATTAACAGTCATCAGGCACACCACGAGAAATTCATCGTCATTGATTACAATGTGGGCTTCATCGGAGGTATTGATCTGTGTTTCGGACGATGGGATGCAAACCAGCACCCACTGGCCGATGTCCACCCAACAGGTTTGCGGGATGACATTTTCCCCGGACAAGACTTCAACAACAACCGGATCATGGATTTCCAGAGTGTAGAGGACTGGCAGAGCAACGAAGTCAGCAAAGTCGACTTTGGCCGCATGCCCTGGCACGACGTGGCCATGGGCTTGCAGGGCGACTGTGTGTATGACATTGCCGAACACTTTGTTCTGCGCTGGAACTTTATCAAGCGGGACAAATACAAGCGCAGCCACGATGTCGACTGGCTGCTAATGGAGGGCCACACAGGCGAAGATGAAGAAGATATCATCGCTGTGCAGCGACCCAAGTACCCCTGTGGAGACTACGTCCAGCACCCGCTGACACCGCTATCGACCAAGCCTCGCGGTAACGTGGGCACTGTGCGTGCTCAAATCGTGCGCAGCAGTGACGACTGGAGCAGCGGTATCCTAAACGAGCACAGTATCCAAAACGCGTACTGCGAGACTATCCGCAATGCCCAGCACTATGTGTACATTGAGAATCAGTTCTTCAGTATGTCCACCTCCTCTCTTCTAGCAGTGTACCTCGCTAATCTTCATAGTCACTGCCACTGGCGACCAACAGCATCCGATTTTCAACACGATCGGCCGAGCAATCGTCGATGCTTGCGTGCGTGCAGGCAAAGAGGGCCGCAAGTTCCGAGTCATCATTGTCATTCCCGCGATTCCTGGATTCGCTGGTGATTTGCGCGACAATGCTGCGTTGGGTACTCGGGCGATCATGGACTACCAGTACAAGTCGATTTGTCGTGGCGAGCACTCGATCTATGGGCAGATCGAGAAAGAGGGTATCGATCCGAGAGGTAAGGGTTTTTTTTTGTCCGGCTTCGGTTTTGCATGTCTAACGAGTTCATTCAGAGCATGTCTTCGTGTTTGCCCTGCGCGCTTATGATCGAATCAACAAAACGCCCGTTCTCGAGGAGCTCGAGAAGCAGGCCGATGTCACATATCAGGATATCCAGCGCGGTATTGCAGAGACCATCATGAGTGAAAGTGTGCACCCAGCGGTGGGAAAAGAAGGTGACAGTAACGAGAAGGACTACGCAGCCGACCAAAGTGCCAAGGAAGAGACTCTGCGCAAGCTTCGGAATTTCCAAGACAAGGTCGATCAGCGAAAGGCCGACGATGGTTTCCACAGCAAGGATTCAGTATCGCATTGCACCATGTTGAACGGGGGTAAGATGTCTGACGAGCACTGGGAGGGCGACCCAGAGG